TACCTGCTGGCGGGCGAGCGCTTCCCGGTGCCGCGCTACGTGTGGACGGTGGTGCACGCGCGCCGCTCGCGCCGGGCCGTGGCGCTGGTGGTGCTGAACGACCCGTTCGTGGCCGTGAGCGAGATCCGCGCGGCGGTGTTCTGCGCGAGCGCGTGCAGCGAGGTGGGCTGGCTGCGGGCCCTGCGCGCGCAGCGGCGCTACGAGAGCGCGCTGTACGGGCTCGCCTTCTGCTGCAGCCTGCGGGACTTGGCCGCGCACGTGGCCGGCCTGCCCGCGGGCCTCGCGAGGGACATGCCGTTGCTCACCTAGCTACGCGGGGTCTAGCTATTTGTCGGGTGTGTTATATTCTTGCCTATACTATTCAGGAGTCGACTTGTCGCTACAATTATTAGATGTATGCTGATGGTCATCCCACTAACATCCACGCCCACGGGTCCGCGGCTAAAGCAAATGGTATAAGGTAGTACGATAATAAAACAAATATTTAAATTCTCACGAATTTGACTTTTATTTGAAAAATAATACAATACATTTTCAGATTTTCTGTCCTTAATCCTTCTCAGCAATAGCAGTTAGGTGCCTGTCGATCTCGTTTTCAGTCAGCACTCTGGAAATATAAAAAAATAGTTCTATAATGTGCTTGAATTTGAAAAAATGAAAGAAAAATCATTTATTGAGCATCAGGCATACATCAAACACATGGCCACATTTGATGCAAAATGTATTTTCAACTCATTTTGAGTGAGATGCAATGAGCCCCCAACACTGATATTTTCAATTTGCACCTCTGTAATGGCGGATAAATGGAATTGACATACAATATATGGCTAAATTATTTCTCTAAAGATATCCAAATATTATAAAGTATAGATAAAGGAAAAGAAAACTTTAAAATTAGCCTGTCTTCACCATACTCCCAATTTTAATGGTGTTGTCTTAAGTATTTATGTAATTACTGATATTTATTTATATTTTTAGTAATGTAATGTTAGTGTCAGTCCCGTAGAGACAATGGTTTATCACACCTGAACTGTGGGTCATCCTTGGTGACTAAGCCGACTTCGATCTCGGACGATTTGAAGTCAACGGACAGCACTTGTGACAGGCAGGAGATGGCGAGCTGGACAACCTCGTCGGAGCTCAGCTCGGAACGTTTCTTCAGTTTCTTCTCTAAATAGGCGTTAGCGTCGGTGGCCTTGGCGCCGGCAGACACTGCCTTGTAGGAGCAGTAGTAGCCGGACGGGTCGGTCTTGTACACGCACGGCCCGGACTCCTCGTCGTACGCCACTAACATCATGCCTGCCAACACAACCAACATATTACAGTCTAAGCATCGATTGTACAATAGTTGATATCAGCACATTTCATCAACATGTTTAGTATAAAAATTTCCCTTCCCAGGAGGTCAAGACTAATTGAATAAAACAACCGACTTATAAACGTAAAACTAGAAACCAAAAAAAAATATTATGTTTTCGGCTTACTCAGATAATAATTTGACGAGGAACTCGACTAGTTTCAAGCCATGTTAGAGGCTCATATATGAGCCTCTATGAATGAATATATTCATGAGCAGCATTTCTAACCTACCCACAACACCCACTGAAAATTAAGAAGTCGGTGGCCTAAGTCCTAAATAAAATATATGAAAACTTTGATAAGTGTATCAGTAAATAATATTTAATTATGGGTTTGTATGGGTTTTTGGTAGCGACTTCTTAAATTTTAGTGGGTATTGTGGGCAAGACTAGGTACTAAGTACAATAAATATTTTTTTTATTTTTGAAGTTGTTTGTTTTAAACATAGTTTTATTTCTTACTTGTTAGTTTAATAGGTATAAGGAAATAATGAAACAAGTGAAAGTGTAATGCAAATAAATGAAATTGGGTCATGGGTAAACATTAATGATATTATCATCAGTGCAAAGGAAAAAATGCTAAAACGCCACATAGGCCAAAATGAGTTTTATACATTGCTGAATAGGTCTTTTTTTTCTGTGTTAATCTGTGTACGTTTCATATCAATCTGTCTATTTTTTTGGCGCTTAGGCAAATAGATTGTTTTCTGTTTTTCTTAAATCACAGCCCGCGTAGCTACTAAAGCGACGTATTTTCAGTGTATTAGCAACAAATGTCGCATAAGTACTTTTTTACTGGCAAAGTGTTTTGAAATTTACAATAAGTATTTTTTGCTATTTTAGTAATTACGTGGGCTGTGATTTAAGAAAAACAGAAAATACCTTAATTGCTAAAGCGCCAAAAAAATAGACAGATTGATATGAGACGTACAGATTAACGCAGAAAAAAAAGACTTATTCAGCATGTATAAAACTCATTTTGGCTCATGTGGCGCTTTAGCATTTTTTTCTTTCCACTGACGATATATATCTTCTATGCTCAGGGCAATCTAATAGCCTAAAATAACATTATTATAAATATACCTCGTGTGTTCATAAGTTTTGAGACAAATTAAAAGTTGCATATCTTTTTAAATAATAAACTTATATTTATAAAAACAATAACATACATTAAGTAGATAGTAAGTAAAAATTAAATATAATTATTATTCAAAATGACCACCCCTGTTTTTAATACATGCCCTTAGACGATTTGGCCAGTCATCAATGGCGGCACGAATCTTTTCCAGAGGAATTCGCTTCGCTTCTCGGACAAGAGCTCGCTTAAGTGACTCCAAGTTTGGGTGGGACTTTCGGCAGGCTCTGAGCTCTAATTCGGTCCATAGAGAATAATCCAGCGGGTTGAGGTCGGGGCTGGAGGAAGGCCATTCGTTCGCCGCAATGAAGGCCGGCACATTTTCCTTCAGCCAAGCTTGGGTGGTTTTAGCCTTATGGGATGGCGCCGAGTCTTGCTGGAAAACCCAATACTTGTTATGGAATAGGGTATTAGACAGGGGTTTCACAACAGTCTCTAGAATGTCACTTTGATAATTTTTGGCTTTCACCTTGACGCCTTGTTGGCAGAAATGAAGCTGAGTGACACCTTCGTACGAAACTCCCCACCATACCATGACACTAGCCGGATGATGAGTACGCGAGACATTCCGTGCTGAAGGTGGGACATCCTTGCTACTTTTGGCATACACTTTATTGTTTTGTCGATTGAACTTTTCTTCGACGGTAAAGATTTTCTCGTCGGTGAAGAGTATCTTCCTCGCATCGTGTCTCCTAAGCAGTATTGGACAACGTTCGCGTCGCAATTGACGAAGGCGATCGTTTAAAAAGTGTACTTTTCTACGGCTATACGCCTTAACCTTGAGATCATATTTCAGTATTCTGTTGACTGAAACGCGCGAAATATTGGTCTGCAGAGCGAGTTTCTTCTGAGTGCGACATGGATTTCGGCGAAGTCGCTCTCGGATGATTTTAATGTTCGCAGGCGTCCTCACAGAGCGTGGACGACCACTTCTTTGCCGATCATGTAAAGAACTTGTCTCCTGGTATCGTTTAATAGTGTAATACACGAAGTTACGGCTCACACCAAAACTTTTCAGTTCTCGGAAAATGTCCATAGGTTTTCTTCCCACCTTAAATAATGAAATGACGGTCGCACGTAATTCTTTTGTTCCCTCCATTACGAGAAAATTTAAATAAAATAATCCGAAATCATAGATATTAAAAGTTAACATTCCAAATTCAAAATTAGAAAAAGAAATATACAGCAGCCAGTAATTTTTATTTTATTTTTATAAGCAAAAAGTTTGTCTCAAAACTTATGAACACACGAGGTATA